TGAGTCAATGAGTCGATGTACTAAACTGGTTTACTTAGGTATAAAAGTTTGAATCAATTTGACTAGATTATGGTGAACTGTAAAGTGCCTTGAGATGACGTGTTGTAAATTGGCTATATCTAAAAAAAAAAAAACGTAATTGAATTTACTTGAAACTAAATCTGCTTTATCTGCTGAGGTGCAAAATGAGGAAAACAAATGTTCAAACTTTTATTAAAAAAGCAATAAAAAAAAATAGGCTGTAGGAAGTGACATAATCTGGATAGGATGTAGAGCTTGTGGCTTGTGCAGATTCCCTCAGCAAGGGTTGAATATGGAGGAGCAAATACCGGTTGTGGAGGATAAGACCAATTGTCATCAGAATTCTTGAATGGTTGTCTAGTTTCATGGATAAATCCTGATGACAGTAAGTCATGGAGAGAGAACTGGCAAGTGGCAGGTCTACCTTGGAGTCAGAATCCATCATGTAGTGATCCAGTTCCTTGAAATACCTTGGATGGGCACACACACTCAAAAGGGTTAGAAACACTGTGTAACTGAGGTTACACAGAAAGGAATGGCTAATGGCTGGTTCCAAATACTGACAGTGGGAGGAGCAAAACAAAGCAGCTTTAATAGAGACTGCTTTGGTCTCACAACAATCAGAGCTCAGCTTGCCTCTGTAAAATTTTCTAATGATGGAAACTCTTGAGAGAGAGGAACTTTGTTTTCCACAGCTCAACAACTCTTGCAGAAAGCCATTGAAACGTCACGCTGAGAACACTTTTCTTTATATTCTGCTCTCATGTATTGCTGTGATAACTGTGACCTTCAACCTGCTGGTCATCATTGCAGTCTTCCACTTCAGGCACTGTACATTAAACATGTTTAAAAATGTGATCTACCCTTGTTGCTCTTTTTCAATCTAAACAGTATGTTTTTATTACTTGGCTCAGCATTAAAACAGATTTGTTATAAATTAGTATTTTAAAGGATATTGCATTTTCAAAGAAAAAAAATTATGTTGGATTTTTTGTATGACTTTATCATATTATTTTGCTTTGTTTCAGGAAGCTCCAAACCCCCACCAACCTGCTCCTCCTCTCACTGGCTGTCTCAGACTTTCTTGTTGGACTCCTGTTGATGCCGATTCAAATCCCAGAGATAGGAGGCTGCTTGGTTTTTGGAAGTTTTGGCTGTGCAATGTTTAATTATGCTTCATATATCATTACATCTGCCTCTGTAGGAAACATGGTGCTAATATCAGTGGACCGATACGTGGCCATCTGTGAGCCTTTGTCTTATCCCATGAAAGTCACTAGAAGAAGGGTTCAAGTCTGTATTTGTCTGTGTTGGGGATCCTCTGTGTTCTATAATGGTTTGATACTAAAGGAGAACATTGAAGATCCAGAAAAACATAATCCATGCTACGGAGAATGCATATATCTTATTGATCTATTACCAGGAGCTTTTGATACCATATTGACATTTATAGCTCCTGTTACAGTCATCATAGTTCTGTACATGAGAGTGTTTTTAGTTGCTGTGTCACAAGCACGGGCCATGAGGTCTCAAATTACAGCTATCACTATGAAAGGTTCAGTTTGTATAACAGCTAAGAAGTCTGAGAAAAAAGCAGCCACGGCTCTTGGTGGGGTTGTGATTGTGTTTCTGTTTTCTTTCTGTCCTTATTTTTGCCTTTCTCTTATTGGTGAAAACATAGAAAATGAAGCAGAGTCTATCTTGGGGACATGGTTGCTTTACATTAACTCGTGTATAAATCCAATCATATATGCCCTATTTTATCCCTGGTTTAGGAAGTCTGTTAAATTAATTCTAACTCTTAAAATACTGAGACACAAGTCATGTGATATAAACCCAGTGGACAGAGGCTTTTAGGGTCACCCTTTTTCATATATGAAGATAGAAATGAGTAATAGTTGGTAATTGTAAGGTTTATTCTTCAATCTGTAAAAGTTAAATGATGTGCTTATAATTGTTTAATAAGCCATAAAGTATCATACCAACTCTCTCATCCCATAAACTACATAATGTTAAATATTTTTGTTGTTTAATCTGTGAAGAAAATTGCACGCATAAAGGTTATGGGTGCAATTTTCACTTATGAGCATTTGTTTTCTTTCATCATTATCACACGTTTTCACTAAAATGAAAACAAACTATCTAAGTACAAAATAAACTACCAATAAACTCCTTGATTATATTTTCATATCTGTCTAATAAAACAAATCTGTACATTTCATTTAAGTCTATACAAAATAAGACACAGCATACCATGCCAGTCAAATGAGAAAATTGAGCTTATTTTAATGGGAGGTTCACCAGGGACCTCTTTTATTACCGTAAATCCTCTAATATAGGATGGGGCTTTTATTTCACTCAGGTACATCTTGGTCCAGGCCATTATTGGAAGGAGGCCAGAAGGCAGGCCTCTATTTCTATTTGACCAAAACAGACTACCAGTGGAATTAATAAGAACGAGATTTTGTGTCTCTTTGAACCTATAAAATACTAGGTTAATTTATTGAAAAAGAACAGTTACCATAACGGTATACAGAACATTATTCAGACATCTTCCAGCAGCTGCAATTTTTCTGCACGGCAATACGAAAGAAAAAAAAAGACACAGAATGGAATCTTGGCCAAACTAACTTGTGAAACAAAGTAAAAAAATAAAATAAAATTAATGGAAACTGTTCTGCCATCACAGTGAAATTTTATTTGAGGCAGGCTAAGTGGAAGTAGGCTACCAGTATCGTGTATTTCAAGGGAAATTCAGAACAAAAAAGGCCAATGAAATTCTGTTATTATAATGATGCCTGGTTACCACCAGACCTACCGGTGATCACATTTGTCTTTCAGATCAGAACGATTGTGTAAGGCCACTATGATCTCTGTGTAAGGATGGGACTTTCCATGCTAATGGCTTTGATTCGTTAGCAAACATTGCCCCCCTGTGGTACTTGTATGTTACTATCACAAGTTGTTGAGGACTGCCCAGGAACATCGTTGGTTTTAATTATAGCCCCGGGCTGTATGCGAGTCTGGCCATTATTTACCTCCACCGACAGCCAGACAGGCCATTATTAGAGGCCCGGGCGCTAATGGAATACAGGCCAATATTAGAGGATTTACAGTATGTAAATGTCTCTTCAGGTGTATAGTTTATTGTTTTGGTGTAGGTTTGTATGTATATTAATTTAGCTTCTTTTTCTTAATAATCCCTTTTCATGGTTCCTTCCTTAAAGTCACCTGAATTGAGTTTGGTATAACATGCTGTTTGTTCTTTTTAGTGTTAGAAGGTGTTGGTGTGCACAAGCTGAAGATCAATAAAGCCACCTAAAGGTCTTTTTTGTCTTGCCTCTCCATTAAATATTGGGCATCCGCCGGTCAAGCTGACGGGGAGGAAAGGACTGGGGCGCTTACTGCACTCCCAGGGAGCCAGCTCCCTCGCTATCACCAATAGGCAGCCCCCTGAGAGCCCCCCTGGAGAGGGGGGTCCCCACCAGTCGCACCGCCATAGCCGGGGGGCCAGGGACAGGCGGCAGGGCCCACGAGCCAGCCGGCCACCAGGGCCAACACCGCCATCCCCCCCATCCTGTCCATCCAAAGAAAGAAAAGAAAAAAAACCTGGCTGGCCAGCCCCCACCCCAGACAAAGCTCTCACCAGGGGGCAGCATGGACCAGGACCAAGACAGGGAGCCTGACACAAAGCCCTTCAAACATGCACATCACACCACCCCCACACCCCCCCCCCCCCCCACCTGAAAACATTCAAACCACTCACCACACAAACGACGATAGACATCCAGGCTAGGATCATTCCCACTCCACCTCCCTCCCCTTCCCCCACTAGCAGAGTGCAAACCCCTGAAGGGGTAACCCCTGAAGGCATCTGCCATAAATGTTAATGTCCATACCCCGCCACCAGCTCAACTGGCCCCGAGACCCCCCAGCAAACCAGAGGCTCCGGCAGGGCTGGGCAGCCGGGCGTACGCCGGCCCAGACCACAAGCAGCATACCCCACAGAACCCGAACGCCCGATGCTCCACTGGGGCAATCGCCCAAGGGCAATGCACCCCAGGGACCCAAGACCCCTGGATCCACCCCGGACCCACCCAGCGGCAGCCCAGCTACCAGGCCAGTAAAACACGTCCGCCACCACGGAACCCCCCAAGAGCACTGCAAGCAGCCACTGTAGGACACCCTGAGGCATACCAGGCCCCGCCCCGATAGGGGCAACAGACTCCAGGGTCAGATCTGCCAGGCCCCCCATTCCAAGCATCCCCAGAGCCCCCTGGGACCACCGAACCAGCCCATGCGCCCCGCAGGACATGCCCCACAGCCCCCCACTACACCAAGTGATGGAGGCGATGAAGGGAGCCCAGAGGGATCGGTCTGATGGGGATGCAGATGCTGTCTCAAGATTAATATGATCCAATAAAAGATCTCTATACTGATTGATGCTGAGTTTTTCCTTACTTTTCCAATTCATGAGGATAGTTTTCTTTGCGATACATAATGCAGTGAAAGCCATGCAAAAAAAAAATTTTTCCCAGAGAGCTTCCCTCAAAGTCACCCAGCAAGCAAACTGATGGGTAAGGTGAAATTTCACAACCCAGGCACAGTGATAAGTCCTTAGATACCTGTACCCAGAACCTCTGAACCGGGCTGCATAACCATTAAGTGTAAATATAATTATCAAGTTGATTGCCTGTGCACTGTGGACAGATATTAGATTGTGCAAAATCCATCTTGAATAATCTTTGACCTGTATAGTGCACTCTGTGGAGGATGTTGTATTGTATTAGTTGTAAATTTTAACCAATTTATAAAGAAATTGCCAAAACCAAATTTATGTAAAGTAGCAAATAATAATTTCCAGTTTACTTTATCAAATGCTTTTTCTGCATCTAAAGACAATATGTAGGATTTTATATTTTTACTTTAGGAATAATCTATTAAATTCAGCCTTCTGTGCGTGTTAGCAGCTGACTGCCTTCCTTTAATGAAAACCAGTTTGATCTGGGTGGATTATGAGAGGAGTGACTTTATCTAATCATTTTGCAAAAGCTTTACAGATTATTTTAATATCCACATTAATTAAGGATATGGGATGATAGCTGTTCAGAAACATAGGATCTTTGCCTGGCTTAAGCAGGAGACTAATGGTGGCAGAATTCATATTAACTTGGAATTCGCCATTTCCTTGAGTTTCCTGCAGTATTATGTGGAACGTTGGGGCCAAAATATTCCAGAACTCTGTAGGGAACCCGGCTGTACCTGGCGCTTTATTTTTTAGCATGCTTTTTAATTCTTCCTGAACTTCAACTGTTGACAGCGGTGAGTCCAGGGTCATTCTTTACATAACTACACTAAATACAGAGAAAAATAGAGGCTTTGTTCCTATTAAGGATATAGTGTGTTCTAAGCCATCGCAAGGTGTGTGTTGAGGTCAAAATGGCATTCTCAAAGCAAAATAAAACTTTTGTTTTTACCAGCACAATCCGGGGGACAGTAAATTTAATCAAAACACATACTATATTTAAAAATCCAATAATGCATGCAATTGTATATATGCCAGTATTTGCATACAATGAATGTATTTAATGCTTACATGTGATGTTAATGAACGTGGGAGGAGTGAGAAAAAGCAGCTTTAAAAGAGGCGGCTCTGCTCACACTATTCACACTTCCTTTGCTAAACTGTCTAATGATGGAAACTCTTAATGGAGAGGAACTCTGTTTTCCACAACTCAACAACTCTTGCAGGAAGCAAGTGAAGCATCATGTTGAGAATACTTTACTTTACATTCTGCTCTCATGTATTTCTTTAATAACTGTGACCTTCAACCTGCTGGTCATCATTGCAGTCTCCTATTTCAGGCAAATGTTTAAAATTGCATATTTGACATATTTATTATGAATAAGGCTTGTTGTAATCTTTAGTATATGTCAATCACAATTGGTGCTTGTTGTCTATTTCCACATCAATAGCATACTTTATAATACATAACTTAGCATTCAGATTCAGGCATTAAAAACTGCACTTTGATATATATGGCAACATGTTTTATTATTTTTCATAATTTTAGATTTTTTGTATGACTGTATCATATTATTTTGCTTTGTTTCAGGAAGCTCCAAACCCCCACAAACCTGCTCCTCCTCTCAC